ATCCCAAAAAAAAAAAACTCTTGAAATATAATGAATCTCTGATTGGGTCCTAAAATTGTGTAAATAACAGAAAGGGTCAATGACTCAATCTGTCATTTATAAAATCAAGAGAAATTGACAAATTTACTCTCATTTGTATCCATGCACTACAATAATTTAGAAATCACTATAAGGGTTTAGACGTTATTTAGATTCGTGTAGAGAATAGCTATTCATTTTTTCGTAGTCAGGAATGCCCCATGAGAAGGTGTCTTGTTATTAACTACAGCTAATCATATAATCACTAGAATAGTGTAAACATTATCTATATTCATTTAGAGAATAACTACTCACTTTTGCTTAGCGAGGGTAAAGTTGTCAATTTCTCTTGATTTTACAAATGACAGATTGGGTCATTGATCTTTTCTGTCATTTACACAATTCCAGGACCCAATCAAGAATTTCCTATATTCTAAGGGTTTTTTTTTTGGGGATTTTTCCAATAATAAACATACAATTTTTCTTTTTAGCTGTAGTTACCAAATTTATACTAGATCAAACTATTCATAAATTCTGTATAATATACTCCCCGGTCCTAAATATAAGGGTTTTATATTTAGGACTGAAAGAGTACTAATAATTCTTAATATAAGACTTATTTGACTAATTTGTTAATTAAATTAGTTATTTATAATAAATGAATTTATTTTCTTAAAACATCATTTTAATTTTTAATCATGGCTACCTTTAAATGGAAACTCTCTTATTATATGTAATCAATAAAAATATTTTAAAGAATGTATTAGAAAATTGGGACACGTACTAGAATGAAGAGTTATGTTCAGAATCAAATTTAATGTTTAACTAGATATTATATTAAAAATGGGATAGTAATTTTAATTATATATATATTTGTATATCATATAAAATTGATGAAAAAGTTTGATTGGCAAAAAATTGTATAGAAGTTATAATATTAATAAGTGGTAAACAATATTACCTATAAATATAAGATCTTGTTTACAGTTTAAAAATAGGTCTTATATTTAAGGCTGAAAATAGTATGATTTATTTTATATTTTATATAAGATTCTGGCCCTACAATATAAGTAATAAGAATTATATGACCAATCATAATGTACAAAAAGTACAAGAAAATTAATGAAGTTTGTGGGAACGCTGAACATTTAATTGGCATTATTAGTTTGCAAGATGGTGAGGGATGACATTGCCTTGATGGCACGGCTGCTATCAACCTCATGCGCAGACGGGGAGCACATAATCAGACTTCTCCAACAATCATCTATTTTAATTCATCTTTAAGGAATCACGGGCAAAACTTCCAAGCTAGAAAAAAAAACTAATACCAATATACTACTAAATTCAATCCATACGTTTTATTCAACTTCATACAACTTTTTATCTCGACACATTTCAATAAAATTTAAATTTTAGAAGGAAAAGTATTTCTTCTACTTTGTTTATTATATTTTTTTTTTGGTAAAATGATTTATCTAACTTATGAACTAATATATAATTTAATGTTGTATAAAATATCTTAAAGAAATTATGTCACATTTGTCATAGTTAATAAAGTTATTCAATTCTTTAATTTATCTAAATTAATTAAATAATTTCAAATTAAAAATCGGGATAAATTTTCTTAAAGCTATTATCTATTGATGTGCATTACACGAGAGAATTTATATTTTTGCCGCAACGTATTTGATTTTTTTTTTTGGCCTTCGCAATATATTTGATTATAATTACCAAATATATATTTTTTTATTACGATTATCCCCAATTTAATAGGTGATATATCAATATGAGGGGCATCCGTTGCTTTCTCGGATTGCCAGAAAGAGAAATTTATTTATAATGTGCCTCAGGCTCGCAGCATTTGATACACTGCACACATGCAGATATTCTAATGTAATATTGTTTTCACTAGATTTATTAATGTGTGTTTGTTTTGTATTTGCTTCCATTTTTTTTATTTGTTCAAATACAATATTGACTACCATCGCCATGTTGCTATAAGGACACCTCGCTAATCCTAAAATGCTTTTTCTTGGTATAGTAGGTCACGCGAATGAACCATGCATATTCAGGGCTATTTAAATTAAGTTTTTAAAAAATAATTTTACAGCATATGAGATATATGTATAAAAAATTTTTGTCTCAGTTTAGATAAAAAATAATTTTTAACAGGAGGTTTGGATTAGCTTGATTTTATGAAGACCGAAGTAAAAATAAAAAAAAATTCTCTTAATATGCGTAAAAATAATTTTTTTTAACGAATTTAAACTCCTATAAAGCGATCATAAGGGGCAGTGTTAGGCTGTGTGTATTTCATCATCAATAACAATAATTAAAAAAAACTTACAAAACGAGGAGTAAATAATAAGCATACAATTTTTCTTTTTAGCTGTAGTTATACTTATACCTTCTGCCTGCCGCCTAAATCATTTTTCAAGCCTTAGCTTGAATTGTTACAACAACAAATAAGTTACTTCTCTGGTGCTATTTATAAGGTAGGGAGAAACAATTTCATATGAATTTTATTCTTTTATTTATTATTGTGTTGACTTAATTCTTATGTGGTATATTATATATTAAATAGGGATAAAAATAAAAAATTGTTGAATTTTAAATGAGAGTTAACGGAGTTTAAAATTTTTATTGACCTCTGTAAAACATGTTAAAAATGACTTATAAATAAAAGTAGAGGAGTATTGGATAAATTCAGAAGCACGCATGAGATCTTTAAAATATAAATGCTAAATATATTTAAAGCGGCTGTTTCCAATCAAATTAATATATATATATATATAAATTTAACTTGAACTAAAAAAATTATGAAATATTTTAATAAAAATCTAGAGAATTGACATGTTTAAATTAAAAATCTAGAGAATAAATTTACTTACATTTATTTTTATTATTTAATATTATAATAATATTGCTGGTCAAAAAAATATTATAATAATATCGTTATAATATATTACAAGTCAATCATGAAAGTTGTGACAACAAGTGGAGAGAAAGTGAAGAGGAATGCAAGTGGACACATTCTTCTTTCCTCAAAGAGAGTTACTCTCAATTACGCCTAATACTTAAATTGCAATATAAAAAAAAAAAATCAAGGGCTTTATTATGCCACGGTTTAAGACATTTTAATATCAGACCAAATCAAATAGTAGTATATTGACCCCTTAATTGTATGCTTGATGGTTCCGTGGTTTGAAAAGTAAACGTACGAGGCCAAAAGGAAACAATAAAGAAAAGAAGAGTAAACGTTTAGTGTACATTTTAAATACTTACTCTTATAAATAATTTCAAACTCTCACATATCTATATAAATGGCAAGTCTTGAGCATATTTTACATCCTGCCTCTGATTCTTAATATATGATCTCATTTGATTTTTATTTTGGTAATAAATATAAGACTCCAATCCAATTTGTCGCTAATATTTATGTATTTTTTTCAAGATAGTCATTCTAATAATGCTAGTTCTAGCTAATATACTTAATTAGCAAGGATATTTTAAGAAAGACAACACCTATTTATGACAAATAACTAACTTAACTTCTTTTCTTAATATTTTCAAATTAGTCAACTAACTCTTATAATTAGGACCGGAGGTAATAGCATATTTTTCATAACTTAGTGGCATGATAATGTAATATGAACTAATGTTTGAAGGACCTAATAAACCATGTCATGTCCACTAATATTTTCACCACATTTAAATCAGACCTCGACCTATGCATCATACAAAACTGATGTATGTTTCGTATATACAAATAGTAACAGTTTCAATTTAAATAATTTTCATTAAAGTCACATATAAGATGACCTCTTTGTGTGCGTGTGGACTGTAGACACAGTCCAATTAATTTGATCAGAAAAAATGGCTTTTTTTAATTCAAAAACGTGGAAATCTTTTATCTCTGTTTTTTTTTTTTTTAATGCAACTACCAATAATTCACCATGTAAATGTTTTTGTCTGGGCCATTTCCACCATGTCAATATAAAGTTAGTGTTTGATTAATTGTATCGTTGATGGGTTTAGGCAACAAATAATACATATCACGATGGAAGCTGCTTACCGTTGACGCTGAAAGAGTCACGAAATATTCATAAATTATCCACCAGAAACAAATTAGAAATTAATTTAAGGAAAACCATATTGGAGGTACTTATACTTTTTTTTAATTTTCAATTTGGTACCTATGTGTTTTTTGTTATTAACTAAATCTTTATTTTTCCTCTATTAACATTATTAATCCTTATCTAGAGACTAAAAATATCAATAGAACAAAGTTATAAGAGCTAATGTTGCTAAAAAGATAAAATTAAATATTTAATTAAAGGAAAAAAAATACATAAGTACCAAATTAAAAATTGAGAGAAAGTATAGATACTTTCAATATGGTTTTCTCATTAATTTATAAATAAAGTTGACAGTGACACCTTTTTTGTTTTTTTTAAACAATATTTTGGGGCCAAACAGGGACGGAGCGGCAGGGGGCTTCGTTTGTCCTTATCCTTCTCCGTTTTGGTCATGTTTTATTTCACGTACCACTGTGGATACTTTTTTTCTCTTTAATATTTCTGCCTTTTGACTTCTCCCCCGCCAATTTACGGTACTGCCCCTTCGGTTCAATATAGTCTGCGAGTTGAAAGTGGAAACATCGGCTGTTGCAGTCAACAACAACGGGCAAACACCTCTCAGACTCACAGACGCCTCAATCACCGGTAGATCCAAACATGGGTCCCACAGAGTATGCCTTGTTCCTTGGAAAGAACGGTGCACAATGATCACAGACTTCACAGGCACGTTACTCTAAAATGATGACTGCTCACTGTGCTTCAGCGGCTTTGTCATATTCCCTCGAACAAAAGCCACCGGGATTGCCAAGCTATTTCTTCCCTCCTTCGTCCGCCGAGTCCCGACCCTCCATATCGTCAACGAATTACCAATAATTTTCTCAAGGTAAATATTCGGTTTGACGGATATTTTCTTCCTCCTCCTTGAAAACTCATTAATGGTTACTAAAGGCCAAGGCTTTTGTTTTGAGAAAAACTGCCTTTTTTCTTTTCTTTTCCTTTCTTAATGGCTTTGCTTTGCTTTCACTGAACAAATCTTCGACCATCTGGGGGGTAACTGTAATAATGTCTTCTGAGAGACTTTGAAGCTAACTATAGTTTTTGTGTGTGCCGCTTCCTCTTTTTCTTCTTCCATCACGTTTGGCTTGGGGTTTTCTGTATCCCTCTGTCCTTTTTCATTCTCAGGCGCTGAGTGTTCATGTGGTGTAGGATATAGGGGGTTGGATTATGAGCCCTGGTATTTGGTCCTTTTCCTTATTCAAGATTGTCTGGATCCGTCGCTTCCTATTGGCCTTGCTAATTTACGGGACAGCTCCGTGGGGAACGCTGTGAAGCTCCAAATTCTGTTTGCAACTACTCAGACTGACGGCTGCTTTGACATATTCACAGTATCATCGTTTGAACGGAGAAAAAGACACTTGGTTCTGTTGTAATTATTGTCGCCTTAAGCCGAGGTGTTTACTTCTAATCATCGTTCTGTTTACTGCATACATGTTGATTATGTGTCATTTGTTAGCTATTGTCTAATTAGTATGCTTAGTTTAAATATTAGCCTTCTCTATTGTCATGTTAGGTTCAACCTTGATGTATGATTGAACCATCCATGCATGCCTGTTATACGGAATTTCTTTCATTTCTTAGAAAGGATTGTTCCTTTGCTCTTCTGCTCTGGAAATCTGGCCTTCGTTCGACTGTTACAGAAACAGAGCGATAAAATAACAATTTCTCATATTTGAAGCTTACTGAGGAAATATTAGGCAAATATGTTTTTTTTCTATACCCACTTATGACCTGGAAGTTCCCTGAGGGGTTCTGGCGGTCTGCGGCAAGGGGATAGTTTTCAAATCTTGTGAGATAGAGACCAGTCTAGATCTTGTATGGCATATTTATGCTTTCTTTTGTGTTGGTATGTTATGAGATGAATTCTGCTTAATAAGCTTCATAGCTTCATTGCATATAGCTCCGCATCTAGCAGACTGGGTTACCATTTTCTTTCAAGATATCAGTATGCATTTTTTTTATGCAAGTGAGTTAAGGAAAATCATGTTCTGTTGTCTTCTAATCTACAGCTTCAGGACACTTCCTGAATGGGAACTGATCGTGGTGAAGTAGTGGAGCCACTACCAAATGTCCGCTCCTTTAAGGTACGCAAAAATAATGGAATCCCACAATTTGTGTTTTAGGATTTTAGTTGACTGTATATGCAGTACCAAAATATTACGGGGCATAAATTATAGATACATCTAATCTGATCTGCTACCCTTATGGTGCAAGTAGCTAAGAAAAGGAAAAATAGAAAGAAATAGATGGGCCTGAACATTGATTTCATAGTGTATGAAGTTTTATCTTGAAGCCTACCATAGGGGAATTGTTCCCAGCATGTCACGATAATTAATACTCATCATTTTGAGTTAAAATTGCAATTGAGCAGTATGGTTCTTATTTTTCATATTTCATTAGATTGTCTTTTAATCTTCTTCCAACTAGTTTGGCATATTAAAATCAAATGTTCAATTGATTGCTCTTCATGATGACAGGTCCATCGAAAAATGTGCATAGAGCTAATGAAATTAGTTGATAGAATCTCTAGGATATTCCCAGATATTGAGGCAGCACGTCCTCGATGCTCATCAGGAATACAATCTCTGTGCTTGCTAAACAGTGCAGTTGACAAAGCCAAACTTCTCCTGCAGCATTGCTGCGAGTCTAGCAAACTCTACCTGGTATGTAGGTTGTTTATTTTTTAAGTTATTCTGTTGGTATAGATTACTGTAATCTAGAATAATAAAACCTCATGCAACTAAGAAAAATTGGAAAATCGTTTCTTTATGAAAGTTTGAACTTTGAACTTTGGATGTAGGTTATCTTTTTTCTATTATACCAAAGCTATGTCAAGAGTCGAAAAGTTTGCATTGGAAAAAAATTGAGCTACCAAAAATGTAAATTTTACCAATGGATTATTCTAGCTGATTGCACGATTATTTAATTGGGTTTACTATTACTCTCAGGCGGTGACGGGAGATACTGTGCTCTCAAGATTCCTAAAGGCAAGAAAATCATTGGAGCAAAGCTTAGGTCAAGTTCAGAGCATTGTTCCAGTTATGTTGGCTGCGGAGGTTTGTCAAATTACCTTGCCTGTTTATTTTCGTTTGTCCACCATCCTGAAGTTCTTTTTTAAACTGACTCTGACCTAGTTGTGTCTCATTTATTTTCATTTCTCTACGAAGCTGAAGTTTACTATTATGGAATTGAGTTGACACAATAACTAGTCCTGTACAATTCTCCTTATTTTGATCTGTGTTTGGTTACAACTTGGAACCTTATTTCATGCTCTAACACTCCTTGTTTTCTCTTTGCAGATTTCTCAAATAATTGATAATCTTGCATGCATGACTATTGTACTGGATTCAGCTGAAGAAGAGGCTGGGAGGGTTGTAAAGGAATTACTTCAGCAAGGTGCTTCAACCGCAGACTCTGTTGAAAATTCTGAGATTAAAGCTCTTCAGTTTGCGGCCGCAAGACTTAATATCTCATCCCCGAAGGCCATCTTAATAGAGAAACGATCTATTAAGAAGTTGTTAGATAAAGTTGGGCCAAATGATCAGACAAAAAAGACGATCTTGAGATATCTCTTGTATCTGTTGAAGAAGTATGGAAAGTATATCACAGGAGAACAGATGGAAATGATCTATCCTTATAGTGAAGGATCGATTGTACCTGAGAACTGCAGTCATCATTCTCGACATATCCATAATATTGAATCAGAAAGATGCCTTAATCATGATCAGTATGAAACTCGCAACAGTGAGATGGGTAGAGTAGAACCGCCCGAGGAATACAAATGTCCAATATCTTCAAGATTAATGTATGATCCTGTTGTTATTGCTTCTGGAGCAACATATGAAAGAATGTGGATACAAAAGTGGTTTGACGAGGGCAATGATACATGTCCAAAAACCGAGAAGAGACTGGCCCATATGTCATTGACTCCAAACACTGTTATGAAGGACTTAATATCCAAGTGGTGCAGAAATAATGGAGTTATACTTGCTGAACCACAACAGCAAGCAAAAGAATTTCACTCATGGGAGGTTTCTTCAATTTCCATTAGGAGTTTTGGCAGTTCCATGGATGATCTGCACTTACCAGTAGATCTTAGCAACATGTCACTTGGATCATTAGATTATAGTCAAGGTTCTGATTCCTCACATGCTCGGAACTCTAACGACTTAAATTTGATGTCGAAGAAGGTCAATGACAATTCTTGGAGTCATCAACTTAATGTGCATGTGCATGACACTGATCTGATAATTTTGTCTGAATCCCATGGCCTTGAATGGGATTCTCAATGCCAGGCCATTGAAGATCTGAAAGATCGTTTGAAATGCAATTGCCAAAGTTCTTGTTCTGTGTCTTCTGAACGTTTTATTGAATTTCTCAACAGATTTTTGAGCAGTGCATATGAACGTCAAGATGTGAAAGCTCTTAGAACTGGAACTCAGTTGTTAATGGAATTTGTGAATAACTGCGGGTATGAATTTCCCGTCATTGTGGTGCTTGCTACATTGCTAATTAATTTAATTTGGTTCATTTCTATGATTATACGGTAAAACCCAATTGATTGACAATTCTTAATCCATAAAATGATTAATATTTATTTTCCTTTAAAAACTCGTGTTTAGAACTTTATTATATTCCTTGTAAACAATGCATTAACGTATTTGATGAGCTTAGTTTATGACATTGCTATATTACTTTCATATTCCTTCAGAGCATCTTTCTGACTTAAAGCTGCTATCGTTGCTTTATTTGGAGACATGAATTTGCTGTCCAACTGAATAAGTTTGTGTTTTTTCATGCAGAAAGGATCTATCTTATTTAAGAGAAGGTACATTTGGCATGTTGGGAAGTTTCCTTGATTTAGAAGTGATAGGTGAAGCTCTTTCTATAATGGAAAAACTATCTGCAAGTCAGCACAGCAAAGCTACAAGTGCAACGTCCAGTGTGCTCACTTCCATCTTAAAGATCCTGGACTCTGACAGCAGAGGGTTCCAAGAACAAGCTATCAGAATATTGTATAATTTGTCTTTCAACAGTGAAAATTGCTCCCCCATGGCATCTCTCGGGTGCATCCCAAAATTGCTGCCCTTTTTCAAGGACCAGGCCTTTTTGAGATTCTGTATATGTACACTGAAAAACCTTTGTGATATTGAGGTGGGCAGGGTTTCTGTTGCGGGAACTAATGGATGCATATCATCAGTTGCTGAGATACTTGACACTGGTAGTGCTGAGGAACAGGAGCATGCACTTTCTGTTTTACTCTCTTTGTGCTCTCAACGTGAAGATTATTGTCAGGTGGTCATGTATGAGGGTGTTATCCCTTCCCTTGTCACTATCTCCATCAATGGAAGTGAGAATGGAAAGGTGAGTGCATTGGAATTGCTCCGTCTCCTGGGGGATGTTCAATATGAAGAAGAGTCCATGAGACCAAGATGTGACACTCAAGATTCTAACTATCATTCTCAAGAAAAGAAATCGTCAAAGACCTCTGGATTGCTGAAGAAACTATCACCATTCTCAAAAAGCAAGAGATGAAGCTGAATTCGCAGTTCATTGGGTTAGTGAACGCACTTTGTCTTGCTGGATAGCCGATGGGCTTGTTTAGATGAAGCCTTCATCTTTGTAAATGGGTAGATCGATCTTGGCCTCTGCCTCTTATTATTTATTAATATCTTGCAGCAATTAGTAGCCCTAATTCAAACAACGGGTCTGCTTGGGGATTTTTGTAGAGTAGCTGCACGCTGTATGATAATGTATAGTTCCGTAGTAATATAGTGTTGATCATGCATGATGCATTCTTTTAGCATGTTAGGTTAGGAGGGTTTTGTAAAAACAGTTAGGGTTATCTGTTCTCCAGAGGAACATAATGGAGATTACTTTTTTAATTTCTCTATCTCCCTGTCTCCCCACTCCTTCTCTAGCCTTTTTGAATAATTGTATATATAGTGAACACGCCTATATTGGAGTGCTGATTGCAAAAGAGACATCAAATGGTGTTGCAGGGCTTTTGATTGTTTGGTTCCCAGACTCAGTATCTGTTATGTACTGTTACTAACTTTCTTACTAGTTGGTGTGGTGGAATCTTGGGTAATTCTCAGGCCTGGGGTTCAGACAGAAACTTGGTTGATGATTCTCTTTGCAAGCTCCTCCATAGCTCGCCCTATATGCTTGAGCCTGCTTGGAAGTTGGAATGTACACATTCATAGGACTTGCCTCAAACTTTGCTCTGTCACTGTCCACCAAACAAAACCCTTGCTCTAGCATGTGTTGATTCTTGATTGCTTCATCATTGTTTTAAACTTCAGCTCGAGCTTCACATTTGTTATTTCCATTCTTCCTACGTAAGGATCTGGATACCTTAACCGAGGGAGTCTCAACTGAGCTTCAATTGATATATATTAGCCACTAGATTATGATCTGATAGGTCTGGGTTTTCTCCTTTTCCTCGTTCTCTTATATAATAGTAGTTTTATAGAATATTAAATTTAAGTCATCCATTTTTTGGTTTAAAGATGTAGATGAGATATTGAGAAGAAAACGAGAAATAGGAAAGAGAGGATTTGCTTCCCATATAATGCCATTGAGAAGGAATTACCATTTTTCCCCGGGGGGGGGGGGGAGACGAAAGTGTTTAGCTTAATACCGTCGGTTCACAAATTTATGATTAATATCTTTCAACTAATAAGGGAATCCAAGTCCCTTTTCCTAGACATGCTTATTTTATTTCTTTTTTTGGTCTTGTAACCCCTTTTATAAAAAAAAAAAAAAGAAGTTGATTATCATTTAATTTGAAAAATTTAATTAAACAGTGTTATTGGAAAGAATAATACCAATTGAATGAATTTAACTACTAAGTCAGTGCGAACATAATTCTTGTCCTATCAATTTTAATTGAATACAATTATACAGTTTTACTTGGGTGTTTTATCAACTCTCTGCAATTCTTTATATGATTGTCCTTATGTCCTCAGCAGTATCATGCTAAAGACTCAATTTTTACAAATAATTAAATAAAATTAAGGGTAAGGGTGCAATTTTAATCATGATTTTATTTCTTATGTGCAATTTTATCTGTGATATTTTTGAGGGTGCGAATTTATTCTTAATCTTTTTCCCTTTTGCAAGTTTAACTCTGTGTGGTAAAACTGTATCAAAAAATCAGAGTTAAAATTGTAAAAATTTCAGTCCAAAAAAAAAATTGTATCGAAAAATTAGATGAAAGTTAAAATTACACCACTAAAAAAATTATGAGTAAAATTGCAACTGAAAACTAGAACTAAGGTTAAAATTGCACATTTACCCTAAAATAATCATGCATTTGTTATCTTATAATTGAAGAACTATCTGCATGGCGGAATAGGAATTGAAGAATGATATGATTTCACAACTTGATAGTAATGATTTGAGAAAATGTACTTGTTTTTTTTGCCAGCGATTTGAGAAAATGTATTTGAATATAGTCAGTTTTTTTTTTTTGAGCCAAAGAATATAGTCAGTTAAAAATTTTTAAATGATCAAATTAACGCAATCTATGTCCCCGTGTGTGCGCGCGCGCGTGCATGTTCCTTTTTTTTTTTTTTTAAACCAGCGTGCGTAAACATACTCAAAAACCACGTTCACAGATCAATCCATCCCAACAGTGCAAGCAGTTCAAATTAAAAGGAAGTGGAGAGGGCTTGGAAGAAGGCGAAGGGATTGATCATCAAAATCGGGAATAGGGTTTAAAATCAGGGTCAAGAGAACTACAAAAATGGCAGCAGAATCATCGGAGGGAGAAGATGATGCCGGGAAGCTCACCGGTGGAAACCAACTCTTACTAGTTGACGATGACCTCAGAGAGATGGGCAAGAAGGCCGCTTGGAGTGTCAGCTCCTACAAGCCTGGCAATGGCGTTTCTTCTCTTCGCGACAACAACTTCGAAACCTATTGGCAGTCGGTCCACGCCTTCTCTCATGGCTCTTTTTCGATGCAAATCCTCGCATTTACCCCTCGAAGACAAATACTGATGGTGCTTTGCTTGGTTTCAGATCTGATGGTGCTCAGCCTCATTTGGTCAATATCCAATTTCAAAAAAAGGTCAAGCTACAAGTATGTAAATGTTGATTTCCTTTCGGCAACATCAAAAGCTGTTTTTTTCCCCCTTCAATCAAATGCTGTTGCTTATTTCTTTTTTAATCGTAGTTTCCGGTCCGAATTTAGCTTCTTGGTTCTTTATCGATGGTTTGTTAGTGATTGGTGGATATCTTTTCTCCTTCCAGTTGGTTGTTCTTTATGTGGATTTCAAGCTTGACGAGAGTTATACGCCAAGCAAAATTTCCATCCGTGCCGGTGATGGCTTCCATAACCTGAAGGTAATTTGCTCAATTCGATCTTTCTCTCGCTATTTCCATAAAATAACTAAGAGTCCATTTGATTGGCCCCTTATCCTTGTGAACAATTTTAGGAGATAAAAACCGTGGAGCTTGTCAAGCCAACTGGTTGGGTTTATATATCATTATCTGGAACGGATCCTCGGTAAGTGTCGAAAATGTACATATCTGCCTTTTTCCCCCAGACAACTTGAGAAAACAGATATGAAGTATCCTCCTTAGTCCTAAATTTTAAAAACGAATCCTGGTATTTTTTTAAATCCTCATAACATGAGTTTTCCACAAGATCAACAGTCGAAAGACGCTTTTAGGGGTGCAATTGACCAGGACAAGTTTTATATGTTCATATCTTGGTCATTTGGACTAATTTACTGCTCCTAGTTAGCAAATCAAACATTACTTGTAGTTGTGTCAATCTTGCAACTTGGCAAATTTTTCCCTCATCATTGGCTCCTCAAGCCTTTTGTTCTGGATTTGTGCCAAGCTTTGAGGTCTTTAAGCTTTTATGGACTTATGCCCTTGGAAATTTTCTTCTGGGGGATGCTCCTACCGTGAAGGAAGGGGAAGAAGAAATTAACTCCCTCAATCTTAAAACTGCAAGGATTGGATTTGATATGCCTTCTTATACTGTGAAGATGCGTTTTCGTGTTACCTGATTCCTATATATCTTGTTAAACCATTTCGGTTTTGGACTGAGTCTCTGGATATTATTCTGGGATTATCAATGTTGGTGGACCGGGAAAAAAAAAAAAAATTAAAATTCATGTGGTATGACCATGGTATGTGGGAGCCTTTATCTTCCGCTTCATAGATCAAGAAATTTACTGATGAACTTTCGAATTGCATTTGACCAACATTGTTTTTCTTTTTTTGTTTTTGTTTTTTTGGGCCCTAGGGAAACTTTTGTCAACACTTTCATGTTGCAAATTGCTGTATTGTCAAACCATCTCAATGGAAGGGATACTCATGTGCGGCAGATCAAAGTTTATGGACCTCGACCGTGGGTCTCCTTACACTCTAGAATTGCTAATTTCTCTGAGAAACATAGCTATTCATGAACTCTGATTGTAAACTTATATTGCAGGAACCCTTTTCCGCACCAACCGTTTCAATTTACTTCTAGAGAGTTCATCACCTACTCTTCTGTAAGATGAGGAACGCCGGTCACCATGAAAAAACGTAAAAAGCCAACCCTTTACTTATCTGCGGGGGATTGAAGCTACTGCCCTTCAATTGATAATTTTCTCTGAAGGCACAATTCTAGTTAACTATGTGGCAAAATCACATTTCATTGTAATATTTACGTCACAAATGGATCAACAGGAGATGCGGATACTGACTTTTGTTTCTTGGGGCTGGCTATAGCGTGTTGGATTTTACAATGCATTCTAAAATATGCGTTCTTCCATTGTTCTGCTTCGATTTTAGAGGTGCTCTCCGTTTTTTTTCTCCCATGTTATAATCCCTTCCTGGTCACTTGAAAGCGTCCCCCCTGTCACAGGGTTTTAAAATTATAAATGGACTCGGGGAATTTTTTATTTTCTTAAAAATAAAAAAAAGCAGCATTCAACCCATCGAATTATTTTTTTTTTATAAAAAATATCATGTAGCCCAGAAAGTGTAGTGGCTGATATGGTGCACAGTTATAGTACCGGTTCCTATCTTATTTTTTTTCAACATATAAATAGCTGTGGATTGTATTTAATGCATTATGAGAGTTTATTACGTGAGATGTATCATATAAGTAACATAATACTATGATAGTAAATTAATTGTTGGTCAAAAAATCAGCGGCTCAATATAAAACACTTCTATTTTATTAGGATTAAAAAAATAATTAAAAGTGATGATATCAAGTATCAGAGTATTAAATAAATAATAGGGAGAATGATTAAAAAAAGAAAATTAGAAATTACTAAATTATAAATCGGATTTGGTGACAACTTGTTTGGTATTGACAATACTGAATTTACAAATAACAAAAAAAAAAAATTTTTTTAAAACATTTTTCATTCGTTATTTACAAATTTTCAGCTTTTTTTTAATCATTTTTCCTGAATAATAATATGATGATGAGTAAAACATTATTTTCTAAAAATTTGTCAGCAAGATAACCCACAGATGCAATAAATGTAAATCCATCCTGTTTGAAGTGCCAAATGCCGCCCAGCACATGATGTTACACGCTCAATGCAGCAGATGAGCAGAGATGCGCGTGCCACCTCCATCGGAGGATCATCAGAGTTCAACGACCATCATCACGATCCAGCGGAGTATGATAATAGCTGAAGCATTTCAGTATTCCAGACCCCAGCAGATCAGGAGATTCATATACTAGGAACATCTTCGTACAATATAATGCAAGATTCGCCAAAATTCATTGATCTTAGCAGTGGAAGAACTATTAAACAGTTGATACAGGTTAAATTCACAATCAACAGCTAATGAAAGGGAAAAACACTAATGACTGCACATATAAGATCGTCAGCTGCATGTTTCCATGATGGATGAACTGTGATAAGCATAATATCACAATCTCCAGCAACTTGGTATCATTCGCAAGCCGGTTTAGTATCGAAACTGCTCAAGCATATGGCAAAGGCTTGAAAAGCTGAGAGAGGATATCGGTAGTCCATAGTGAATATGTCTTTACCAATCTTCCCAAACTGCAATATCACTTTCTCTTGTTCTGCAGCAGGAACATCATGAGACGGATCAACAGCTGCACAAAGCTGGAAATTCTTCACAGAAGCTACTGTGACACGGCCCTTGAAATTTAGGCACCAGCACTGGAGTTGCTCATGCCATCTAGGAGCCTTGTTTTTAAGAACAAGAGGGTCAGCCGAGCCTTGACTCGATGCCAGTGGATCTAATAAGTTTGCAGAGCTTAACTCTGTATTTGAATCTTTTCCTTTCAGTGCTGGTGAGAAAGAAAATTGTGGAAGAGTTGTTGGCGTTGGGGCATTGCCTCCTTCCTGAATAGCCGACATGGGTATGGAGTTCAAAATGCAGTGCATTCTTCTTGGACCTCTTGTGCGAAGAACATTGAGTTCATAATTGATGGTGCCAGCATTATATTTACGTGCTGCTACTCCGGGAGATGCCTGCTTTGAGGGGAATTTACTACTAGAATGATTATTCACTTCAATGCTAGCTTTCTCTGAAGGTTGGCTATCACGTATGGCAAACTTGGTTCCCAAAAAATTGGACCTGCGAAAAGTTCACCATGAAGCCGAGAAAAAGATAAGAATTAAAGAGATGATGGAAGGAAAATTAGTGTGTCTGAGAACCAAAACTTGCCTTAATTTACCAAGATATGTGCTGCTGGCCCGAGAAAAATCATCTGCAATAAAGGATATAACAAACTCTGTAGCTGTTGGTTTTCTTATCCTTTTTGCAGCTAGTAACAACTTGGCCCTCTCATTTTCCGCTGTATTTCGAAATAAAAAACAAATTTCCTCAAACATTATTTCAAAAACTTCTATAAGGTCAATATCATGAAAAGAGTAAATAAAATAAAGGCTAATTCCGATTTCTGATCCATTCAAGAAGCTTCAAATTTCATCTAACTTATGAAACACATCATGTAAAGCAAAGTGTATTCTGCTCCAAATGTATCAACACAGAATGGCTAGCTTATATGGTAATAAGGAATCCATTTGAGGACAGACTGATAAAAAGGATGTGTAATCCACAAATGAATAATAATGACGACAGTTGTATCCCTATTCTGACTCAAAATATAAAGAAACCCACATGTTATAAACAAGGAATTCACAATTCAACATTCGCAATCATGAATTTCGAGTTTGAAGGATGACTTAGAGATGGGGTTATTTTTTCATTAAAATCTAAAATGGAAAGCATCAACAATGAATGTAGCATTTTACTTACTTGGCACAAGACCAAAATACAAGTAGTATGTAGAAGTTTCTCTGTTCCTCCTGATAAAGCACTGTATTGATGCATCACGGGGACCAGGCTATTCAATCCACAAAGGAAAAAGATAACATAAGAAACAGAAATAACTCACGGCTAAACAATAAAAAGGATCAGGCTAGAATCAGGGAAAATAGTTCACTACCTGCTTCACTGAGACAGGAAATGTGAGCCTCCCACATTGCTCAGGAGTCTTGACGATTTCCTTTGTAATGGCTCTCCATGATTTACATACTGAAGCACAGGAGACAACGACAGCCCGTGCAGGCCATGTTGTCTCACTTTCTTCCACCCTCCGAATAATGTCCAAAAGCAGTTCTGGAGGTAGATTTGCCCACTGTCCTTGTTGAATAGGATCAACTGGAGGTAGGGTGACATCTGGAGCAATATGTGATTTTGCTTTTCTACTATGCCATTGCTTATACTCGGCACCTCGTTTTGACATGTTGCTCATTCCATCTCTCATTTCCTTAAGTTCACGAACCATGATTTTCCATGACATGTTTGCACAGCATACCAATTTCCCTTCCAACACAAGACTGCATCAACAAAAAAACAGAATTGGAATACTTCTATATTCCGCGATAGAGGACAGAGCTCCTGCTCAGTTATTATAAGAAATACAAATGCCAAACATAATGGAGATGCACTGCACGCAGACTTAGCAGTGGGTTCAGTACATGGAAATCATATTAGCGGGTTAGCCAATTCCCTGCACTAGCTCCTACAAATTAGCCAACCCACGTTAACCTTATACTTACATTAATATTTTACACTAAACAAGATATACACTCAACTGACGAAAATCTCGTACAAATCAAAAGTTTTCCCAAAAATACAAGCTTTTCCCTTGTCCCCATCCTCCCTTGCCTATAAGAGGTTTTCCCAAGTTATAGTTTTCAGTTCTTCAGAATACACGTCTTTGTTACTAACCTTCAACGTAACAAAGTGACAATCCCGAAGGAGGGGAGGAAAAAAAAAAGTAAAAATGGAAAAACGAGAAACCGCCAGGATCAATTCCTTATACGTGTATCAAACAAACTGCCCGTCATTCTCAAAATCAGAAATGTAAAAAGGAAATAGCAGATTGTAACTATATACAGAGACCGTTGAACACTCCAAATGTAGACAGAAAAAAGATAAAATCAAGCAGAATGTATAACCAAAAAAACTATTTAAACTCCTATGAAAAAGAAGGAATGAAGAACCAACCGAAAGAATTAAAGGCAAGAGCAAGCAAACAGGCAAATCGCAGAGAATGTTCAAGCGGGCACACAAGAGATCAAAATGGAAGGCGGCAGAGCCCGGATCCAGAAAAGAAATGGAGAAACATGACCGAAACCCAGAAAAGGGGACCATGCTCTCAGAGAATGGAAGAAATGGATCAAGTACCCATGGAGCTTGATCCGTCGCGAACGGCGACACCGACGGCCGAAAACAGCACCCCAACGCCACGAACTCAGATGGTAATAGGTCGGTTAAATCGGATCCAGTTCTTTATCTTTTCGCCATCTTATTTTAGCGATCTGTCGCAAAAAGTGAACCATAATTTATTGGAGGGAATCTAGTGCCTCCATCCACACTGCATCTTTCCTACACGTGGCCCTTCTATTTCTTTTTTATTTTTTTATTCTTTGAACTTTCTAGTTTTGTTCTCAAGATTTGGATAAAATTAAAATAAGCAAGGCTATGTTTCATAGGGAATGGCTGGAATTGGATCATGTTGGCAGGCCACCAAATGCCGATAAATCTCTGAAGTTGAGACTTTCGAATTTCCATAATTTTTTTTATTTGTACCAAACCTAGCAAAGAAGAGTTTTTCATTACAGTGGGATTTATATGGGACATTGTCCCTGTCCGTGCATACTTAAAGTCAACTCATTTGTTGAACTCACATCCACAGACCACAGCCCAGCGTGCTCAGTTTTTCACTTTTCTTTGTGGAATACCACTCATTATCCCCTTGTTTGGACGCCGAGTTTCAGTAACTACGCATATCTTTATGAGGCTGCTTTCTATCAAGTGATTTGGTATGTGTTTGCTTTTGCCAGAAGAAGAGTTCATAATGGAGCTGCTGCAACCTCTACATCTACATGTTAATCTCTTGTTCCACTTTCATATGCAAGTACAAGCTTCACTTACCAATCTACACCCCCATGACTAATTTACAGATATTAAGAAAATTATTTGAATTGATTATTTATAACAAATATGTTAGTTATTCTTGTTAGCCTTGTTAAATATGTTAGTTATTCTAAGTTGCTCTTTTTAATCATGTATATTGGAATTACTTCTTAGTAAGAACCTCTTTAACATGTATAATCAATAAAGATCTTTTAAGGAAAAAAATTATGAACTTTGAAAATAAGACGGATTGAAATGTTATATGTAGAAATAAATATAATATTTAACTAGTTCTTATATATATAATTGGAGACAGTATTATTGCAAAATTCTTCTTTTATGCCAACGTAGGCAACTATGGTTTCTACCAATCCATTCATTAGAAAATATACCTATTCTAATATTTAATTTATTTAAATTAGTTAACTATTTCTTATATTAAGCATAGGAGATAGTATTCCTTTCTTTTGCATAAAACATGAGAATCATAATATATATATATATAGAGAGAGAGAGAGAGACTTTTCCCCACCAGCATGACAATACTCATTCTATTTAATATTTATTTCTTCAGTTATATCTTTTGGCTTCCCTCAAGCAATCATCCTTATTCTTATACTTACCTTTTCTAATCTGAACGATTTCTTTTTCTAATCTAAACATACAAAGAAATGTTAGATGTATTGTCATAATTAATACATTTAATTTCATTCTCTTCCCTTCTTTTTTATTTCCTTTCCAAAAAATGGCATTTGTAGCGGATTGATTCTTCAGAGGCATGTTGCACTTGCACCTGCCATGTGGTTGATTGATCTGGCGGTTCTTTACATGTGACGATTTCATTGGAGCTCAAACTTATCCACACCCATTCTGGTAAAAAAAAAAAAAAAAAACTTATCCACACCCACATCAAAACTGATTCTTTCCTGTCCAATCAAGCTGCATTATGCCTCTTGTGCATATGTTCTTGGCCGTTAGATTGATCTCGCGGTCTTTATCATCCACTCAATATTATTCCGAACTTGAAACGTGTCGTTTAATGCAAGAGCCTATTCTGAAGGAATATGCAGTTATTTTATTTCTATATTGTGAATGTGAAATGCTTTGCTGGCATAAAAGTTAATACTCCTCCGGTCCTAATTATAAGACCCAATTGACTTATTTGAGGAGATTAAGGAAGTAAGTTAAGTTGGTTATTTATAATAAATAAGTGTTGTTATTCCTAAAATATCCTTGCTAATTAAGTATATTGGCTAAAACTATCATTATTAGAAGGATTATCTTGAAAAAAAATGCATAAATATAAAAGAGAAAATAGATTGGGTCTTATAATTAGGACCAAATAAAAAGTCAAATTGGGTCTTATAATAAGGACCGGAGGAGTACAATCGGCCATCAAGCAAGGGACTGCGTTAACTCAGCATAAAGCATTATAAAGATACATGGGTGAATTGAAACCTCCTGAACCTGAAATTAACTGCCTCAAAAGCTAATATGAAGAACACCTCAGTACTTTTTATACTTATTGTGTGTCTTCAGCAACGCTTTCTAAAATTGGACCCAGCAAGCCTTTTTAAAATAAGGAATGAAGACAGAGTATGGTCCTTCCGTCCATTGCTTAACTTGAAGTTTGACGTAGCAGTTTCTTAAAACTTGTCTTGTTTGCTTCCAACGACAAGTTGAGTCTGGTCTCAACTCCCACGCGACTGATAAACCAACCTCACTCTCCCTCTCATTTACGTTTAGGCTCAACCATTGTAATTAATGAAACACCATCGATTCATTTGTCAGCACACAGACTTGCATTATTTAAGAGTCTCACTAAGTGAACCTTTTTTTTTTTTTTTTTGTGGAAAGATAAAATTCCATTTTATCTTCTTAAGGCCCGCTTTCATTTCAAGCAGGAAAGCTTATTTTGATATGATGATTTACTTGTAGTCTTCAAAATTTCGAGAATTTTTTAAGCGTTAGAATATATAGACGACGAATCAAATTGATCCCGTACAGGTCTACTTACCAAATGATTATTCAACTCATAAAGTCTTTTGTGATATCATGTTGAACGTTCCTATCATTAAATTAACGACGATAAAAACCATTGGTTTGCACTTTGAGAACTAAACTGAACCTAAAGAACTTCTGAAGACTAAGACAAAGTTGGCGCGATAACATCACGCTTAAGCCATTGCTTCTCCTTAACGATAAAGCTTTGCCTTTTCCTATTATGTTTGGTCTCATGTAACTCTCTCACTTTGAGCTCGAATTTTTAACCTCTACTTTTGATGATACAAAAATAACTACATGTTGTGTTTCTGAATGTTTGTCTTGTCCTTGAAATCTCAACCTCTACGGCAGTTCATTGGCCTTCAAGTCCTTATCAGTATATCGCTTACAAGCTTTGATCTTCAACCCCTTCGCCACCTAATCACCCTTGGGTTCTATAAACCTTTTTTAAACAAACTTATACTCTCCAATCTACCTTCATACGATTCATATATATACTCGAACATCTTTGCCTCCATGTCTCATCCTTGTGCAGTAAATCAAACGCATTGAATCGAAGCAGTTCTGCGAGAAACAGACATGGCTGGCCTGATCTTCTTCTCAGGTCACATATCTTGCCTGATCTTCTTCTTTGTACTTTTGGGCTTGGCATTTTCTCCAGCTGAAGCAGCCGTAAAGAGATACCAATTTGATGTGAGTAATCAACGTGCTATCATTTGACAGTCCTGCCCTGTGTGTATATCTATATTATTGATCACACGCTTGGCTGTTTCTGCAGATTCAAATGACAAACGTGAGTAGACTCTGCCATGCAAAGCCCATAGTAACGGTGAATGGGAGGTTTCCAGGGCCAACTATTTATGCCCGAGAAGGAGATAGAGTGCAAATCAATGTCACAAACCATGTGCCGTATAACTTGTCAATTCACTGGTATGAAAAGCCAATTTCTGTTCCTATTTATGAGACATAAACATATTAAAATGTGTCAAATTGTCAATTAATGAGTTAATACATGGATGTGGTGAATGATTATCACAGGCATGGACTGAAGCAATATCGCAATGGTTGGGCTGATGGACCTGCTTATATTACACAGTGCCCTATCAAAACTGGAAGTAGCTACATATATGACTTCAACGTTACAGGACAACGGGGGACTTTATGGTGGCACGCCCACATTCTTTGGCTGAGAGCTACTGTGTATGGTGCCATTGTGATTATGCCTAAGCCTGGAACTCCATTTCCTTTCCCTCAGCCAGCCAGAGAATTCGAAATTCTTTTAGGTCATTTCCGCACTTCTCAGTCTTCTTTCCCATTCATTTTGTTAAACCAGATGTTCAAGTAAGAAACTGGGCTTGTTCAACAGGGGAATGGTGGAACAATGACGTGGAGTTGATTGAAAAGCAAGGAAACAGAATGGGGTTGCCGCCAAATATGTCTGATGCGCATACGATCAATGGGAAGCCTGGACCACTCTTTCCTTGCTCTGAGAAACGTAAGAAATTATAATTAGAAAGCCTAAGTTATTATAATAATATCTTTACTCCAAAGAAAGCCTAATAATCTGGGAGTATGTTTTCTTTTTAGATACATTTGCAATGGAGGTTGAGCAGGGGAAGACCTACCTTCTCAGAATCGTCAACGCTGCGCTCAACGATGAGCTTTTCTTTGGGATTGCGGGTCATAACATGACAGTGGTGGAAGTTGACGCAGTTTACACGAAACCATTCACAACACAAGCAATTCTGATAGCTCCTGGACAGACCACAAACGTTTTGGTAAAAGCCAACCAAGTACGAGGTAGATACTTCATGTCTACCAGGGCCTTCATGGACGCTCCAATCCCAGTAGATAACAAAACAGCCACAGCTATTCTTCAATACAAAGGTGTCCCAAACACCGTCCTCCCACTCCTCCCACAATTACCAGCTAGAAATGACACAGCTTTTGCCCTTAGCTACAACAAGAAACTGCGAAGCTTGAACTCTGCACAGTACCCTGCTAATGTTCCTCTCAAAGTCGACAGAAACCTGTTTTACACTATTGGTTTGAGCAAGAATTCGTGCCCCACATGCGTGAATGGAACTAGGTTACTTGCTTCCTTAAACAACATCTCTTTTGTGATGCCCAAGACTGCGCTTCTTCAAGCTCACTACTTTAATCTGAAGGGAGTGTTCAGAACTGATTTCCCCGATCGGCCTCCAACCACTTTCAACTATACCGGTGCACCATTGACTGCTAATCTTGGAACTTCCACAGGCACGAGGATTAGCAAGATTGCCTTCAATTCTACAGTTGAACTGGTTCTGCAGGACACGAATCTGCTCACTGTTGAGTCACACCCATTCCATCTCCATGGATACAACTTCTTTGTGGTTGGAACTGGCATTGGCAA